TAGGGCTACATGGACAGTTTAGTGTACCAGACCGAAGTTGACACATTAGCGAACTTGTCACTGCAGCGGCAGATGACATCCAAAATCATCCGGATATGATAGCAAGAGCGACACATCATAATTTTCTACGCAACTATCAACTTTATGTGGTTAATAACGGCGGGATAGTTGAACAGTATATTATTTGAATTTTGACCCACTTTAAATGTCTATGGTTTAATTTTCAAACACGCGCAAATCCTAACATAAAATGATCATGGTGTTTACCCCTGATAAAATCAAATTTTAACAGGCTTAACTTGTTATCGTAAACACTGTACGACGAGTAGTACAACAACAATACTATCGCTATGGTGGCAGCAATGTAATCGCTGTCGTTTTATTGGAAATGTTTCAGTGATTAAACCTGATAATCTGACACTGAATATTTATTGCCGTAACGGCCTTTTACGCGGACCAGCCAGGGCATAAACAAAATCCAGCAAATGCAAACTGTGACACTAAACCAAAATTTTGAGATCCCAAAATGGAACATCAATTGAATAGTCTAATTTCAAAAGCGGCCATCTCCAATTTTTTTTTTTAAATGAGTTATTTACACTAATAAAATCGAAATATTACGTAGTATATTAGTGCAAAATTATATCCCAACAAAAACGGCTATTTGCAAGGAAAATAATTCATTAAAGTTTTATGTTAGTTTTAATAAAGGCCATCTCCATTGATGTTTTAAGTACAAAAATGTACTTAAAATGCCCATTTCCCTTTTGAAATATATGTTTTTTTAATTAAAACTTAAATCTGGTTACTTATTTTGTAGAAAAAATATTTTTAGTTACCATATATGGTATATATATAAACAAGTTTTTCAAAATATATTTATTTTTTACCCATTACTGTTTAGAATGTTTTTTTTGACGTTTACTTAAAATATTCTTCAAAGGATATGCCCGCTTTTGAAATTAGACGATTCAATTAATTTAATGGATTAATAACCATTATAATTTTAATTTCTTATGATTAATTAAAGTGTACCCAACAACTTCTTTAGGGTGCCAATATCATTTTTAATATCGTGTATGCATATGGTATATGGACAAATGCACATTCAAAAATCAAAAATATCCTATAACTTATTTGTTATTAGGTTTGCGCAAAAATAATTACAAAAAAGTTATAGTCTATTTTTGATTAAAGCACATTTGTCAAATTTTAACGAAAAAAATTTATACAGTTCTTTTTTTTTATATGGACCCGTCTTTTTTTATTAAGTTGGTAGCATATGCCAGTTTGATTTGGTATTTAAAAAATGCTAATTGACAGTAATATTTATTATTGATAATTTACTTGTTAATTATTATACTCGTATAATATATTATATTATATTATAATACCGATATAAAAAGATGACTGTGCCAAAAATAATATCAGATTCCAAAGTAAAAGAACTTTTAAGAGCAAAACTTCATTTCGATAAAGTTATGCCAAATGCCTCAATGGCAGAAAAAGTACATCGCCTTATGAACATTTTTGGAGTAAAAAGTAACGTTTTTGGTTTTACAAATGAAGGGGTCAATGCAAGAAGTGCCTAAGTCACATTTTAAATAAAATTGACATTGTGGCTCTATCTAAAAGTGTTTTAGCTTTCATTTGGTATTTGCAGAGTGGCAGAAATATGTGTCTAAGTGCCTTAGTTTGCATTTACTTCAATGGGAGTTTACCTGGTTTTCAATGCAAGAAGTACCTAAGTCATCATTTTGACAGATGCAATGCAACATGTACCTTAGTCCACGTTATTTAAATTAGGTTATATACGAGGTGTGTTCAGAAAATAACGGAAATTGTTAAATTTCGCGGCTTCGGATGGTCCGGTTGTCATAAAATTTTCTTTATTATGTTGGTATACATGCCCCCGAAGTATGATAAAAACTTTAGCTGTTTTCATTGTTTACTTTGTCTGTGGCAGCCGCTAAGGTTAGACGTGTTTTATGAGCTCGGCGATTTTCGTTCGTTAAAAGAAATGAATCAAAGAATTTGTATCCAATTTTGCTTAAAAAATGAAATAAATTCTGTGAAATGTTAACAAAGGCCTATAGTGAGTCTGCTACAAGTAAAACAAGAGTTTACAAGTGGTATAAGAGTTTCCAGGATGGCCGTGAAGACGTTGAAGATGACGAACGCTCCGAACGCACAAGCACATTACCAACCGATAAAAACATGGAAAAAGTGGAAGAAATGGTTATAAACCATCAGAGAAGTCGCTGATGATGTTGGTATATCGATTGGCTCATCCCATGAAATTTTTTCGAATGTTTTGGGTATGAAACGCGTGGCAGCAAAATTTGTTCCAAAATTGTTAAATTTTGAACAACATTTTTGGCCAAAAACAATACTGTAATGATGCCCCAGCCTCCTTATTCGCCAGACATGCCTCTGTCTGACTTTTTCCTACTCCTAAAAATAAAGAGAACCTTAAAGGGCCGTCGTTTTGCAAGCATAGATGACATTAAAAGCGCATCGCTGAAAGAACTAAAGGCTATCCCAAAGATCGAGTTTTAGAAGTGTTTCGAGTATTGGAAGAAGAGCTGGCACATGTGCATAATATCCAATGAGGACTATTTTGAAGGCGACAACATTAATGTAGACGAATAAATAAATATTTGTTTCAAAAAACGAAAATTCCCGATATTTTCTGAACACACCTCGTATATATTTTTTACGGCGTTATAATATAATAAACCTTTTTTAAGTATAAACAAATTTTTCCTCAAAATATGCCCTAACTAATTTCCACAAAATAAAAACATTTCAACACAAAAATTGCTTAAGTCCCAAATTATTATATATAACAAACCGTTTTTTCTTTTTTAATCATGAAACTCCAATCCAATTTCCACAAAGAATACAATACAACACACATTTTGATCATAATATTTTGTGTAATATTTCATAATAAAAAATAAACCTTCAAACGGCAATATCTCAGAATCACCTATTTGTGACTAAGACACTTCTTGCAATGACCCCTTCAAATATTAAATCACACATTATTTTCAGACAATCAGATCAAAATTTTTTAAAATTTGCCGTCCTTAATTTACTTATTTACAATAAGCGGCTGTTAATGTTAAAGAAGAAAAAAAGGATTTTCTTTGGTGTTAAACAAAATTTATTGCCAGAAAAGTCTCGTAAGTACTAGCAGCAAAATATTATGCTGTTTAAAGTATAGCCAACATATAAAATCAAAATTTTGGGAGGGATAAAGTATCTCCTCACAGCACCGAAAGCGGTGTTGTAATGAAGTAATTATGAACGCAAAATAGATTAATTATATTTAATGTTCTATCAGTTATAATAGCACTTATCCGAAAGAACAATTTATCATTCCAGAAATGTTATATTTTTACCTTTTTTATTATCGCTTCATCATGCAATGCATTTATCCCGATTCATTAATATTAGTAAATTATCTCGTCATGTCCGAAATGTCACCAGCACTTAGCACATGTACATTAAACGAAACCATTTTCTGTCCGAATTACAAAAAGCGTTTGTATCTTAAACAAGCTCTAATTAATCTCACTTTTGTGTTCAGTTTCAATAAACTAACACAATGTAAAGAATGGTAAATAACGAAAAATTTTATCTTGGCGGCAAACAGCCGCGTTATGTGCCCCCAGAGAATACATAAATATGATAAAGGTGGAAAACAGAAAAATTCAATCAACAGGGGATTTTGGGCGCATACTCGTATATGCTAAGACTGTTATAGGTCATTTTTGAACTCCGTTTGAAGAATATTATAGTCATATTGTTACATGAAAATATGAATTTATTACTTATAGATATTTTGTAATTCCTACACAAGTCAATTTTCTATAATTTGTTGGAAACAGTAAGATCTTATATTTAACCATTTGCACAATATTGTCAAGAAAAGAGTTGAAATCTCTTCTTAAAAATATTACAAAAATAAATGTTACCATTTTGTACAATTGTTTAAAAAATTTGTATAAATATAGTATAACTTTGAGTTAGAATATAAATTTTACAAAATTGGACAATTTGTTCGGGAGTGAAGCATGACACCAATGAAATGAAGAAGCTACCTTCTGTTTAAATGGTATATTCAACCATCAGAATTGTAGATACTGCTTCATGGAGCAGAGAAAATTCTCATTGGGTAGTAGAATATGACGGGACAAACGTATTTGGAATTTTTGCAAAAATCTTATTTCCACATTAGCAGAAATAATTTCCAATGAAAATGGAGGTCCCAATCTACCAAGTGATACCATGTTTTCCTGAGAGGTGGATTGGCAGACAAGGACCGATAGAGTGGCCAGCGAGATCTCCAGATCTCATCTCTCTTGATTATTTCTTATGGGGCTACCTTAAATCAAAGGTCTACATCCACAGCAATTGCTGTCAACCAGTTTATATCTTATAAAATTGCTTAAATAATAAAAATATTTTAGGAGACGTCCTAAAGGGTTTGTAAGTAATGCATGGTCCACCAACCTTCTCTAATTAATTTCAAGAGATTGCTACAATTCCATTTCTGAGACCGCATTCTAGCTAAAGTTGGTTAATGTAATTTTCAGAACAAATTACAGTAAATTATGGCCAACAAAAATAAACACCACCTAGCAATTTGGAGATAAATTTCGCAAATTTTCCTCTTGATTTACATTTTATTTGCATTTATATTTTGTGCTGCTTTCAGAGAATATAATAAAAAATTCCCTTGTCGTTCGACCAAAAACTAAACCTAATAACACCCGGGAAACTTTTTTAAAGAAACATTAAACTCCAAACTAAATATCCATACAAAAGTTACAGTCGAGGAAATAATATGCAGGGTAGATCTGGCACGTTGTCATTTCCGCACTAGTGTATTCGTATATGTGGGAACCGTTTTTTATTTTTAAGTTTGCGAAAGGAAAGTTCGAACACATTGAAAAAGACAAAAATAGAAAGTCCGTCATCGATTTTACAAAATGCCTGATGGACCGAAATGGTGGAACTCGTCAATGTGGAACGATAGAGAATGGGTGTCAATAGAGTTTCTGGTGAATATACTGTAATATCGTCTGCTGATTAATATTTTTTTTGTTAATTTAAAGCTCATTTAGGTTAATTAAACAAAACAAACAATCTTTGTGGAGGTCATAGCTTATTTCATCCCATTCAATAATAGTAATAAGTTTTTGGGAGTCAGTGCTCAAACTTTGAGCTCAGCACATTTTTTGGCCCCATGACATAAATATCTATTATTGTAAATTTATTCAGAAATAATAAAAATTGGAATGACCCAAAAATGTTTTTTATAACTTTTAACATACTTGCTAAAAATAGTCCAAAATATTTTGAAAACGATGGCCTTTTTGCAGGTTTTGACCTATTATAATTATATTAACAAACTATTATGGGTGATTCTACAAAAGTTGTGCAACTTTTGACCTCATTTTGTCTATATAGTTTTCGGAGAAAATTAAACAGTATTTTGTTATGAGAACATACATAATATAATAAATATACTGTTTCAGACCGGGCCAGTCACTTTTTTAAACAATTTCTGAAATATCTGTTTTTTCTAAATTTGAATGCAAGGGAAGTGACGAGTATACCAGAGTAGTAATTAAATACATAATTTATTGAAAAATATAAGATTTATTGCAACTTTGAGCATATTATACATCAAATATCTTAAAATAAAATAATACCACACATCAGTGGCGGCTGGTGGATTTTGGGTATACCGATATCTTAATTAATAGATATGGGACCCACACCAAATGTATATGAGTTTATAATGACATTAAATAAACAAGTTCTGCGCAAGCAGAATTTAAATTGAATTTTGCGAAAAAAAGATAACCGAAACATCGAACATGGAACTGACGACACGGTACTGATGAATGGGATACAAATTTGAAATTATAATTCGGAATTAATTATTTTACTGATTTTTTTTATTAGTGGATGCTACTTATCAACAAATCACATATATCCTTAAATAAATTACAATGAAATATATATACGTAAGAAAATAACTAATCACCACAGTACTGAAATTTTGACTGGAAACGTGCATTAACCACAACTTCGCCGCTTGCATTGATTTCAAGATTACTGTCGTCAGCGGGCTCTGTAGGTAATTTTTTACCAACACTTGAATTAAAACGAGGACTTGACGTTTAAACTTCAATATTTCAAAGGAATTTTTAAAAATTGCTATTGTTCGATTGTATGAAAAAATATCAAGAATACATTATTTAATGTTTTATAGTTTGTAGTGAAATTGAAAAATTTAAGATAAATTGAATATATTTTAAAATAAAATCACTCAAATATTTGATTTAGGAGTTGTGACACGCCAAGGTACTGACGTTTTGAATATTTATTATGTTTTTTCTACAAATGTGCTTTTGAAAAAATACATTAAAATTGGGTGGACAAGTTAAAAAAACCTGGACCTTTTGTAATATACTAAAATATTTACAAAAAATATTAAAATACCTACTCTATTGACTGATGACATCAAGTTTTGTATAATCACACTTACAATTATATAAACATACTTTTGGTTATATTTTACAAGCTTTTATTTAAATGAAAGAGTGACGAGCAGAATAACGTTATTCCAAATTTAATATGGTACTCTCTAAAAATGAATTAGTCAAAAATGACAAGGATATACTTAGGTATCTTACTAGAGTCACAAAAAATAATAGCAAAAATTGTAAAAATTAACCATCAAGAGCAACATTATTAAGAAGTGTGGACATGGGAACATTTGGTTTAAAATTGTTTATTATTTTTATTCTAAATTAAACCATATTTTATTTATTTATATTAATATATAATAACAATGGTAATATAATATTAAAAATATACTACCTACATAAATTTTTGTTCTCTACACATTTTTTGGGACAGTAGTTTCTGAGATAAGGATATGGGTCCCCTTACTTGGTTCATCCTGTACTCACCTACCTATATCTAATATTCCCCAATAATGTATTTTATGGCACGCCGTTTTACCATTTATTGGATAATAGTTTGAAAATAGGTAGTTTAGTACTTATAGCTTTGTTTTAACAGAAATTATTTGATTAAAATTATCGATTTAAATCATGATTTTAATCAAGGGATTTTAATAAAAAATCATGATAAAAATTATTAAAAAATAGCCCCCAAAACAAAAACAAACGATTTTACTATAAATTAAAAGAATATATTTTCCAAATAATAACTTTAAAAAATTGCAGTGACACGCGGATTTTCTAAGTAATGCAAATTATCACGGATATTTTGTATTTTATGCCATTTTCAATAAAATAACAATAATAGTAATAATTTAATGAAGAAAAAAAGACCTTACTATGGACAATATCCATTGGACATACATGAATTCTTTTTTTTTTGTTTAAAAGTACCATATTTTCCCTTCATTTCCTCAAAAAATTAGAATTGTTCATTAATTATTAATGATTTTATAAAATTATTGCAAAAATCGAGCGAAGTAAAAAAGACTTTAGGATATAAATACATGATTTCTTTTTTTTTTTAAGTTACTTATATCCTCTAAATTTTCTCAAAAAATAATACTTTTTCATAGATTAATAGTAACTTTAAGAAATTAATACATTAAAGGCAAAACTCCTCTATCTGGAAAACTTCTCGTTGTTACAGGCAATAGAAGGAAATTAGTTAGGACATTCAAATTTGGCATACATTTTTTTTATATTTTTTAAAAAGAAATGAGGGGGCAGCACGATTAAAATTTCGACATCGGTCAAATAAGAACCACCCTAGTAAGGACACATTTTGTAGAATCTGTTTTTAGTCAACGAGTAAATACTTAAGTTGTATTTAATAAATTATCTTTTTTGCCTGAAAAACTCTTAGAATACATGATAGGATAAGAGCAATTCAAGTAAAATGTTGGAATTCCTCGGGGCAATCTGGTGATATCTGTTTAAGACGTAGATAAAGTTTCTACCCCAGATGTGTATATTAAGGTTATTTTCGGACACCCTGTATATATTATAAAACATAATAATCTCGCAATTTAAAAACCCCATGTCTTATTGTATTACTCTAATACTAATAAAGCTTACCTCTTACTTAAAATAAATACTCAGCGAAATGTAAAGCCATATAAACTTCTACAGAGATAAAATATAATAACCGCACGACCCAAGCTACTTAATTTTTATTTTAAAATAGCATCAAACCCCGCTAAATTAATCCTCTTACTTATAAATATTTTGCCTCGATATATTGCAATTTTCTGGAGCAAGTAAATCCTCTGCATTGAAACTTATACGGGATTTGCAGTCCAAAGAAACGAATTAAGGAGAAAAAATTATAAGAGTTTGGAAGAATATAAATACACTCATTATTCTATGAACTTAACAAATTTCTATGGAAATAGAGATAATACAGATTTTAATTAATTTATAAAACTTCATAAATCTCGTTTATAAGGCAGTTTTATGTGTTCCGTTTAAATTATTTATATGGACCAATTTATCAAAGCATGTGTTTTCATATTGTCGCTTTTTCTATTTCGTTTTCATTCAAACGCTTCCTCGACGATTTGTTAGCCTCTTTTTAAAAGTCGTGAATAGCTTTTATTGCCGAAATGTGTTGCTTAGTTTTATTGCATGTGCCGTTTTCAAAATTGAAGAAAGGCCAAATAAAGATTTCATCATCGCGAATCGTCAAAAATATTTAATATGGGTGTTTTTTATGAGGCGCCGTTTGTATGATAATTATTTCATTTAATATATAGTTCATTTTTTTATCTGTACTCGTATTTTTTTGTTAGGTTGGTGGCTTATGCCAGTTTGACTTAGTATTTTTAGTATTTAAAAATGATACTTAAAGAATTTAATTAAATACTTTGACACTGTCAAATTGACAGTAATATTTATTATTGATAATGTACTTGTCAATTATAAGTAAAATAGTTATTTATGTATTAAGGGCATAATAAGGTTTTTATGGTCCGAGGCGCTATTTCGAGCCCGAGCGCGTTAGCGCGAGGGCTAGAAAAGCGTCGTAGGACCATAAAAACCAGTTATGCCAGCAATGCATACAAAACTTTATGCACGATTAATATATTACTATTTTTAACATATTATTGTTTTTAAAGACGTTTACGTCAAAGAATTTTTGTTATAATTGTCATATTATAATGTCAACTGACATCAGTCAGTTTTAAAGTTTAAAGATAAATGAAATTGAGGAAGCAGCTGAAAAGGCGAAAAATTGCGGCCTGCTGCCGGTAAAATCAAAATCTTTATACGAAAAAACTTACTTCGAATATATCAAATGGTGTAACATTGTTGTTTTTAATTTTTGACGTTTCATTATAGCCCGCTGGGCCATAATAACGCCCGCGGGCTATAAAAAGACGTTTACGTCAAAGAATTTTTGTTATAATTGTCATATTATAATGTCATCGTGCATAAAGATAATTATGCCAAAAATAATAGCAACGAATTCGAATGTAAAAGCCCTTTTGAGGGCAAAACTTCATTTTGATGAAATTATACCAAATGCCACAATGGAAGAAAAAGTACATCGCCTTATGGACATTTTTGGAGTAAAAAAGTAACGAATTTGGTTTTATAAATATTACATCACACATTATTTTCACATTATTCAACATTGGACAACATTTACGTTCACAAAAATTTTAATTTCTTTTATATAAATTCTTTTCAAAGCGAAGATTATTATCCGCTAGGAATACTTTCTCTTCTGGGCCGTAAAGCAACCTATATTTAACCCTTTCAATACGACTTTTCGGAAATTAATTTAAAACTTTTTTTTTAGTGTTAAAACTATATTTGTGTTAAAAATAGTTTATTGACTAAATGACAAATTTTTAACTTTGGTGGTATTTGAAAAAAAAAGGCCTGGGACAGATTTATCCCTGCAGTAATATGCCCTGGGATATATTTATCCCCACACTAAAGACTATTTTTGAAAATGTTTATTATCAAAAAACACTGATGGGATAAAACTATCCCCTGTCATATTACTGCAGGGATAT